ATTATCACGCTGGGGCAGTAGGCCACTCCATAGAAAATTGCAAGGCTTTGAAATCTCGTGTACAAGAGCTTATTGACGCTGGGCAGCTCAAGTTTGAGGCCAACACAACACACATCAAGGAATGACTAGATGAGTAGCCATCGTGGAACGATAGTTGTTAGGGGCTCTCTTTTTTTATATATATATATATATATATATTTGCTCATGAGATGGAAATAAAAGTGATAGAATAAAAATGATAATAATAATGATAATAAATGATATAATTAAAAAAAAATGGATAGAAGTAATATGAAAGAGAAAATGAATGAACGATAATAATTTTTCTCATTAATTCTTAATGAGGCATGGCACGGTACTACTAGCCGTTTTTCTTGTACGATATTTTTGGTGATGAGTAACCTACTAGCCTTTTAACAAAAGTGCATATGATAACTTTTATGATTCCCAAGCATGTATTATTAACCATATTTTAGCGGGTATTGAGCAAACGAAATACAGTAATAGACAAAAGTTTTACTAAAGTATATGTAAGGACTTCTATAAAATAATACACAAAATAGTTAGCTTTTATAAAATACAGTAATATACAAAAGTTTTTTTTAGTATTGATGTATATTAAAAAATCAACGTTCTCGAGCCTTCGTTGGTCATTTTATGAACCATTTATTACTTTTCTCGATTATATAGTTTGTGTACGCACAGATTTACTGACTCTATAATTTGTAAGTTACAAATTTCGGGGGTCTAAAAAAAAGTCAAAATTTCAAATCAATAAAACTTGGATTCAGATTTCTGGCTGCATGGCGAAATCTATGCAACACTCATACATCATATGCTTCATGGAAGAACTAATAAAACAAAATGTTTTTTTTTTTTTTTATGTGAAAGAAGTAAAAAAATATATTTGAATATATGAATAAAATATGTTTTCTTATGTGATTCAACAGTAAAGAAGTAAAAAATATCATTAGATATATAACTAATTAAATTAAATAATTTAAATTATTTGATGATAAAATTATTATTAATATATTAATTTTATTTCTTGATGATAAATGATCATTTTGTCTAAAAAAAATCCTCATCACTCTCACTGTTAACTCTAATCTCCTTCTTCCACATCTCATATTGTCATCTCTGTCAATTCCAACCTCCTTCAACTCTTGTCAACTTCCATCTCTTTCTAATCTCCTTCTTCCACATCTCATATTGGCATCAATGACACTTACGCCAAGCCTGCTGTCGTTGACAACCACACCACCTTGTAATCTACAATGCCTACAAGTGCGACTTTCACGTTACCTACACTAGGTTTCATCATGGCAGCAGTGGCAAGAGGTGATCGTCCTCGACAAATGGGTTTATGGAAAGTGCATTACTGTCGAAGTGAAGAGCAAGTAGTGGTCGTAGGTGTTATGTCTAAGCAACTTCTAAAAAAAAGATTTTTTTTAATAATTTTAAACAATTTAAATAAAAATTATTATTATTTACTTGTTTACTGATGGACAATATATATGATAAACTTGTCCATTATAGTCTTCACCTGAAAATATATTCGTAAGAATGTAACTTTAAGAATCATAAACAAACACATCTAATTTATCTTATGTTAAACTAGTTTGACCCTAAAAGAGACTCATGACCGATCCGATCACTTTATTTGAACGGTTGTGCAATTAGTTCGATCGGAACCAATTAAACCAACTAATCTAAATAGGGTTTGATAACACTAACGGGTAGAATTACACCTATTCAATTACATCTCTCGTTTTGGTTGTTCGTAAACATAGTTTTGAAACGTTAGGAAAAAAAAAAAGAAGAAATATATTACCGTGTCTTTAGAAAGTTATCAACATTTTTTAGAAGTTAATCATCGAGTTATTGATACAAAAACCATGTATCTAATTCCTCCTGCCATTGTTTATATGTTACACAATTTTTAACTACAATGCCGGGAAATTTCCTGTTTGAATATATTGGCCTCGAATGATGCCATGCATGAGTATGTTGTTGCTTGTGCAACAAAAGCAAAAGAAATTTTGAATCTGAAAATTGAAATGTTTTGAAAGGACATGGCAAGATCAAGATCATATTCACTACAAATCATAAGTGGTATAAATTTGTTTTCTTACATGTGAAGGAATTTAAATCTAACATTGACTTTTTCACGAGCATTGTTTATTAGAATAATGGATGAGGTCGAGAAAAGTAATAATATGCTTAGAATTTTGACGATATCCATGAAATCGAGAAAATTGTTATTTGTAATTAGATTCAAAGTTTTATCTTGTTCTGATCAATTTAAAAACTAGGAGACCATGACCATTCATGAGTTTGAATGATCTTTAAAATCTTACAAAGATTGATTGAAGAAGAGGGAGTCACAAACCCAAGTCCAAGCTCTTTCATAGTTGGCCCAAGAGCAAGATCGTAATAGTTCATAAGGAAGAGATCATTTTTGCTTTTTAATGAGTAAATTAATAAAAACAAATTTATTTTCAAGAATATTAGAGGTACACTCTCACCTAAGCCTATAAGCATAAGCACACAATTTAATTAATTTGCACCGATAGTAGCTAACAAAGTTATTTCATGCAATGTAATGGGGCCAAAACATACACGAATTTAAAACTAAAATCAAGACCAAGACGTCAAGTGATGAAGAAACCTACAATCAAATTGACCAAATTACAAGACACAATATATTAACACCAAATCTATTTTAACTTTTTTCCATTCAACCAAACCTCTATGTTGAAAAAAAAACAAAAAAGTGCCTTGTTAACATTGTTTGAATACTGTTAGGGCCAGTCGAAAACCCCATGAGTCGAAAATAGCGTATGAGATCCCTCGAAAAATATTATAATGTCAACACTTACCAGTAACAGAGGTTCAAGGTCGAAAAAGAGTTTGGTTCAAGTCGAACAAAGACATACTCGAAAGATAGTGGAAGAGGTTATTGGTTTCTTATATGGTTACATCAGGGCAGTTATGGCAAAAGTGGGTCGAAGAAGTAGAAAACTCGTGGGAGAACGGTTATGGGAAGTTATCTTTTAAGCCCGCGTAAGCAAAGTAGTGGATAGCAGTTATACTCACCCACGATGATTCTCACGAAATCAACTGCTCGTGATTAAACTCTATAAATATGAGAGTTGTACACCTTCACGGGGGTCGAAAATTTCATACTTGAAACCCTTTCTCAAGCACTCTCCGCCTGCACATATGGCTTTCGTGCAAAGAATCATTTTTGGGTATGACCACTTCTCGGCCACTTTTATTTTCTCTTTTTAGGATTAAGAGTAGTTTAGTTGTCTTTTCTTCTTTTAATCACCTAGCTAGATAACTTTACAATTGGAACTGTAACTCTTTAAAGTGATGTGAACATGATTTGTATTGCAAATATTTGTATCGTTCATTCAGTTTATTTGAGAGTTTATATACATGAACACTATTGCTTGTTAATTATTGATGAATATCTGGAAACAAGTAATTATTAATCTTTCTACTTCATCTTTTATTCTTCGTAAAATTTTAATACCTAAATTGAAACGAATCACGTGCTAGTCCGAATATAAAGAACCCATAAACGAATTCCCCCGTAAACAAATTGGCACGCCCGATGGGACACGTTTAAATCACAAACATAATTGGACTAGTTTTAGGTATGCATGTTGCATGAGACTTAGGAGTGGAAGAACCATGTCTACATCTAATAATCAGAGAGAAACGAACACGAACAATAATAATTACGTAGATGTAGAACAAGCAAACCCCAGCCCTGATAATGTGACTAACGTGACCAGGGGGTAGCATCTTCTCCTGTGTTACTCGAAAATACAGCTAGGCAAACCAATGTGACTTAGGAATTAGCAAATGTCACTAGGGAATATCCCTGGGGGTATGCTGCCAAATTGGCGAAGTACCCAACCTATTCATGTCGAAATGCCAGTACCTTACTTAGGACCAAATCCACAAATGCACCTATCCTCACAGGGATATAATCCTAGACCAAATGGTTTGGGTTTTGCGATGCAAGACCCATATCAACATGTAGGGACAAGCCAGGAAGGGTCCTTGATTCGACAGGGTAGTTATGTACCTACGGGTATTAGTAATCAAGCCATGATGGCTCTTCGACAACAGATGAACCATAGTAATCATGACATGGTCAATTTGTTGTCAACCCAAATGCATAATATTATGACTCCTTTGTATGAATTGATAAACAAAATAGGAGATAAATTAGGTGATGGACCACCCTCGAGAGCCGTGAGTGCAAATCTGAACGAGATGGAAAATCCAGATGGGAATGGGATTTTTCGATAAAGCGTAGGTCGACCTAATAGGAATCCCAATGACAATATAGATCAAATAGTAGAGAGGATATTAAACAGACATGGATTCAATCTAGGTCGAAATGAACGTCCCTATTTTGTGTTGACCTTCCCAGATTACGTAACTCAA